CAGGCTAGTGTGACAGTTGCAAGTGTCCAGCAGGTTAAACCAGGCTAGTGTGACAGTTGCAAGTGTCCCAGTTATAGCTTTAGGAGTTGAGCAGCATATCTGGGATTTGCCCTTTTTGGTCTGAAATCCAGACTGAGATGTTTTTTCAACGATGTCTGGCCTAACTACACACTGATTGACCTTTCATTCATGCTTTCTCAGCTGTGACACAGACTAATCTATGTTAGAGGAGTGTCACATTATATTGTTACCAATCCTATCACCGGCGATTATGTGTGTACTATATTAAACCATGTGACCGCTTTCATCGAGCCGATATATAGAACTGGCCCTAACTCCAAAGCCTCAGCCTATATCTCATGAGAGAGTGCAGCGTATGACCCCTGGAAGCAAAGCTTTTCTGCTTGTCATTCGCCATCACTGACATCTCAAGTAAATTTATGTCAGACTTTAAGTCAGAGAAAGCTATAATAGGTTGCTGACTGCTGACACCCCTCTAACATAGACTAGCCTGTGTCACAGCTGAAAAACCATGAATGAAAGCCCAATTATGTTCTATTCATGCCGGACTCCGTAAAAAGTACCCAGACTGATATTTTGTAATCCCAGGATGTCAGACCATCATGTATCAGTCGGGAGGGGACAGCTGGCACACACACAGAACTCACTGAGGTATTTTGATGTTTACAATAAAAATGTAATGCTTTTTTCTTAGAATGCACAACTCCAGTTCCTGCCGAGCAGGCGAATGATATAGTTGATCTTCCTTCCATTTCAAGACCTTTGGAGCATGTAACCAAAGCAAGACCTCGAAGGGAGAAGATGCACAGGCCAACTAGGCCTATTATTGATACTGGTGAGGCTAAATATTTGTTGTTGTTGGTGTTGTTTGGTTGAAGTAACAAAAGAGTTTATATTAAAACATTTTGCTTCTGTTGTTTGTAATACTGTAAGTAACTGTTTCATGCTTTCTAGTATCCTACCTGCTTTGAAAAGTTTTTATACAAAGTTTTTGTAAAATTATCTCTGCAAGGGAAAGACCACACAAAGTAAATAACATTGTCAAGAACAACCTTAGAGTAATAAAGGTGGATCAGAGTAAAATCTAATGAACAAGCAGACCAGCTGGCCGTGTTTTATGGGTAGACTGCTAGATATTAACAAATCTCTTACGTTAACATGATTGCATGAACTCCGAAGTCTTGTAAAGAATGTCGTTGTTGTTGCCTTCAAGGTCAGTATTGTAGACATTATAACCCATTTCTTATGGGGCAGGTGGACGGGCGGGTAGGTGGGTGGGGGTTGGGTTGGGTTTGGGGGATTGGGTGGGTGGGAGGGGGGACCCCTAGATACGGCCAGTGTGAGGTACATTCCCACTGACTGCACGCATCAGTATTGTTATTTAATTATCATTAATTTATTTCATTTGTTTTTTTGTGTCTTAGTTTTATTTGTTTTCCTGTCTTTAAAAAAAATGTAAACTAAGAATATAATATTACTGCATTATGTCTGTGAGGGTGTGCAGGTGTTCTGGGATATACTGAAAGGGCTGTAGGAAAGATTACTGTGGAAAGCGGATGAGCAGTTGACAGGCTGATATAAACTGAAAACCTTCAGAAAGGCAGGGGAATTAATTGAATCAGATGATGACTGAATCACCAGAGTTGAGCATAATGTCAGAATAGAAAGTCAAAAGGAGTGGAGCTAGATCAAAGCATTTTTGAAGAGGTTGAGGAGGATAACATGAGTAACTGAACCTTCAGTTCAAAAGAAAACAGGAAGTTACATGTTGAATTAAGCATCAACATCACAGCACTCGGGACATTTCCATAAGCACTTCATCCCCATCGTTAGCAGTAAGCGCAGAATGCCAGTTCCGATGGCACCAGTAACAGTCTGATTGTATATCTGTCATGCTTCTTCCTTGTGTGTTCCTGATTGTATATCTGTCACGCTTCTTCCTTGTGTGTTCCTGATTGTATATCTGTCATGCTTCTTGCTTGTGTGTTCCTGATTGTATATCTGTCATGCTTCTTGCTTGTGTGTTCCTGATTGTATATCTGTCATGCTTCTTGCTTGTGTGTTCCTGATTGTATATCTGTCATGCTTCTTGCTTGTGTGTTCCTGATTGTATATCTGTCATGCTTCTTGCTTGTGTGTTCCTGATTGTATATCTGTCATGCTTCTTGCTTGTGTGTTCCTGATTGTATATCTGTCATGCTTCTTGCTTGTGTGTTCCTGATTGTATATCTGTCATGCTTCTTGCTTGTGTGTTCCTGATTGTATATCTGTCATGCTTCTTGCTTGTGTGTTCCTGATTGTATATCTGTCATGCTTCTTGCTTGTGTGTTTAGCATCGGCCTGATCCCCTGGTCAGTCTTTGCAGCACCATTCTCCTCTGACCAAACTGATCTGTTTGTGCCTCCACATTGTTCAGCCACTCCCAGATTACCTTTACAACAACAAGATTGTCATGCAGCATCTATTTGTGCCTCCACACTGTTCAGCCACTCCCAGATTACCTTTACAACAACAAGATTGTCATGCAGCATCTATTTGTGCCTCCACATTGTTCAGCCACTCCCAGATTACCTTTACAACAACAAGATTGTCATGCAGCATCTATTTGTGCCTCCACACTGTTCAGCCACTCCCAGATTTCCTTTACAACAACAAGATTGTCATGCAGCATCTATTTGTGCCTCCACACTGTTCAGCCACTTCCAGATTACCTTTACAACAACAAGATTGTCATGCAGCATCTGTTTGTGCCTCCACACTGTTGAGCCACTCCCAGATTACCTTTACAACAACAAGATTGTCATGCAGCATCTATTTGTGCCTCCACACTGTTCAGCCACTCCCAGATTACCTTTACAACAACAAGATTGTCATGCAGCATCTATTTGTGCCTCCACATTGTTCAGCCACTCCCAGATTACCTTTACAACAACAAGATTGTCATGCAGCATCTATTTGTGCCTCCACATTGTTCAGCCACTCCCAGATTACCTTTACAACAACAAGATTGTCATGCAGCATCTATTTGTGCCTCCACATTGTTCAGCCACTTCCAGATTACCTTTACAACAACAAGATTGTCATGCAGCATCTATTTGTGCCTCCACATTGTTCAGCCACTTCCAGATTACCTTTACAACAACAAGATTGTCATGCAGCATCTATTTGTGCCTCCACACTGTTCAGCCACTCCCAGATTACCTTTACAACAACAAGATTGTCATGCAGCATCTGTCTTAATTGACATCGGAAATATTTTTATTTTAAAAGTTTCTTGTTACAGACAGACCAAGAATAGAATGGAAGATGAAGAAGAATAATAAGAAGAGAAGGCATAAAAACCCTTAACATGATGTTTGGTGACAGCATAAGCAGGCAGCCCTTATTTCCCCCACCCTTATCATAATCTCTCAGCACACATACATACATGAGCATACATCAGCAGTAGCACTACGTGCTGTAACGATTGTGTGCAGTCTTTCTCCCTGTCTCCAGTTTATTGAAAATATACGTTTCCCTTGTCTGTTACGGGAGCCTCCATGGTGTAATGACTAGGCACTCACCTGCGGATCTGAAGGTTGTGGGTTCGAGTCCTGACAGAGCCAGACTTTTTTATCAGAAAAGACAGTGGCTCCTAGCTCGACCCAGCCTTGAGTGGGTACCAGGTAGGGCCCTGGTAGGTAAAGGTGGCCGGCGTGATGCTGACCACATCATTCACCACATGCAGATTAGTCTATAAAATGTGTGTCTAGCCCTATGTGCCAGATACTCCTGAAGGTGTGGAACAGGGACCTTTTACTTGTCTGTTACATATTGTAGCGGTGGTGCTCATCAACTGAATTATAATGCTTTCAAATTATATTTCATATTTAGGTACTACAGTCATGGAGGAAAAAATCAGTAATGGCCCTCACAGGCCAATCAACACACAGGTATCTCATTCAGGAGAGCATGTATCAAGGGAGGTGAAAGAGGAAACCTCAGCGACCTCTCAGAAACCGGAACTACTTAAAATTAAGCCTGATGATGCTACTGGGTGAGTATTCAGTGCAGAAATATTCAGATTTTGTTAAGCATTACATTTATTTTCACCATGAATATTGATTTCCCTACCCTAATTATTGCCTACAACTGGACTAAATAAATTTTGTCATGTTAGTAGTGGGCACTGTACCTTTTTATCCTTCCGTCACTTACACCAGAGAATACAGAATACAGAATATAATAATAAGGACACATAAATATTTATTGCCTGTCAAATTTTTCTGTGTCCCAGGAGGCACATTACTGTGGAGTTTACCTCAGCATATGTTGAAACACAAAACATGAATCTGTTCAGCTGAAGTACAGATCTTGTTGTTTGTTGTTTCACTGTGCATCTCACAAATGGAAGTATGAATCTTAGTCTGTTATTAGTATAACTATATCATTTAGCAAAAAAAATGTTGTGTTTATTAACAGTTGCTTCTAATAAACAATATCACGTCTGTTGAACAAGTTTCTACATCTTCTTCTTGGCGTTCATTACCTGTAAACTCCAGCAGACAATTCTGGTTGTTTGTCCACTTCTGGGCTTTGGTCTTGTTCCAGGACTTGAGTGTTGTATGCACATCTGTTTTTTTAGATCTGGCTTAGTTGTTACGCAGTTTGTGGTTTTGTTTCAGAACTTGAGTGTTGTGTGCACATCCATTTTACAGATCTGGCTTATTTATGTGCAGACTGTTTGTTCTCACCTCTCAGGCAGGTACACTCTGGCTTTGAAGGAAACACTCCTAATTAGTCTGCCTTTTAGGACATGCTATTTAGGGGGGGGGGGGGCACAAGGTCTGTTCTTCCAGCCTCAGAACCAACACGGGAAACAAGCGAGTTTAATACATGTTTTAGATGCATCTTGCAGGTATGGCATTATCGTTTTCACCTGTTTTAGACTTTTTAATTGTTTCTTAGGTTATTAACATGTATATATTTGCATCCAATAGAAAAAAATGGATACCAGGTTTTATGAAGAAAAGCAAAGAAGACAAACAAGATAAGGAGTACAAGGATACTAAAAAGAGGTTAGTAACATGTATCAATTATTTGCCCATTTCATTGTAAAAGTGAAAGGAGGTTTAACTGCTTTTACTATTTAAAATGAAGTACAATCATAAAGGACACATTTTGATTATGTGAAGAGCAGCGACATATTAGAACACATGTCATATATGAAATACTGACTAGGGCAAATGAAGAACAGCCAATCATATACAGCACAATCTAGTCCACATAAAGAGCAGCCAGCCATCTATGACACCCTGACTAGGGCAAATGAAGAACAGCCAATCATATGTAGCACAGTCTATTCCACATAAAGAGCAGCCATCCAAATATGACATACTGCCTAGTGCAAATGAACAGCCAATCTTATATAGCACAGTCTAGTCCACATAAAGAGCAACCAGTCATATATAACATACTGACTAGGGCAGATAAAGAACAGCCAATCATATATAGCACAGTCTAGTCTACATAATGAGCAGCCAGTCATATATGATATACTGACTAGGGCAGATAAAGAACAGTCAATCATATATAGCACAGTCTAGTCCACATTAAGAGCAGCCAGCCATATATGACATACTGACTAGGGCAAATAAAGAACAGCCAAATCATATATAGCAGTCTAGTCCACATTAAGAGCAGCCAGCCATATATGACATACTGACTAGGGCAAATAAAGAACAGCCAATCATATATAGCACAGTTTAGTCCACATAAAGAGCAGCCAGCCATATATGACATACTGACTAGGGCAGATAAAGAACAGCCAATCATATATAGCACCGTCTAGTCCGCATCAAGAGCAGCCAGCCATATATGGCATACTGACTAGGGCAAATGAAGAACAGCCAATCGTATATAGCACCGTCTAGTCCACATCAATAGCAGCCAGCCATATATGACATACTGACTAGTGCAAAAGAACAGCCAATCATATATAGCACAGTTTAGTCCACATAAAGAGCAGCCATCCATATATGACATACTGACTAGTGCAAAAGAACAGCCAATCATATATAGCACAGTCTAGTCTACATAAAGAACAGCCAGCCATAAATGATATACTGACTAGTGCAAATGAACAGCCAATCATATATAGCACAGTCTAGTCCACATAAAGAGCAGCCAGCCATATATGATATACTGACTAGTGCAAAAGAACAGCCAATCATATATAGCACAGTCTAGTCCACATTAAGAGCAGCCAGCCATATATGACATACTGACTAGGACAGATAAAGAACAGCCAGTCATATATAGCACAGTCTAGTCCACATAATGAGCAGCCAGCCATATATGATATACTGACTAGGGCAGATAAAGAACAGCCAATCATATATAGCACAGTCTAGTCTACATAATGAGCAGCCAGTCATATATGATATACTGACTAGGGCAGATAAAGAACAGTCAATCATATATAGCACAGTCTAGTCCACATTAAGAGCAGCCAGCCATATATGACATACTGACTAGGGTAAATAAAGAACAGCCAATCATATATAGCAGTCTAGTCCACATTAAGAGCAGCCAGCCATAAATGACATACTGACTAGGGCAAATAAAGAACAGCCAATCATATATAGCACAGTTTAGTCCACATAAAGAGCAGCCAGCCATATATGACATACTGACTAGGGCAGATAAAGAACAGCCAATCATATATAGCACCGTCTAGTCCGCATCAAGAGCAGCCAGCCATATATGGCATACTGACTAGGGCAAATGAAGAACAGCCAGTCATATAAAGTACAGTTTAGTCCACAACAAGAGCAGCCAGCCATATATGACATACTGACTAGTGCAAAAGAACAGCCAATCATATATAGCACAGACCGTCCACATAAAGAGCAGCCAACCATATTTCACATACTGACTAGGGCAAACGAAGAACAGCCAATCGTATATAGCACCGTCTAGTCCACATCAATAGCAGCCAGCCATATATGACATACTGACTAGTGCAAAAGAACAGCCAATCATATATAGCACAGTTTAGTCCACATAAAGAGCAGCCATCCATATATGACATACTGACTAGTGCAAAAGAACAGCCAATCATATATAACACAGTCTAGTCTACATAAAGAGCAGCCAGCCATAAATGATATACTGACTAGTGCAAATGAACAGCCAATCATATATACCAGTGTAGTCCACATCAAGAGCAGCCAGCCATATATGACATACTGACTAGGGCAGATAAAGAACAGCCAATCATATATAGCACAGTCTAGTCTACATCAAGAGCAGCCAGCCATATATGACATACTGACTAGGGCAGAAAAAGAACAGCCAATCATATAAAGCACAGTCTAGTCTACAAAATGAGCAGCCAGCCATATATGACATACTGACTAGTGCAAAAGAACAGCCAACCTTAAATAGCTCAGTCTAGTCCACATAAAGAGCAGCCATCCATATATGACATACTGACTAGTGCAAAAGAACAGCCAATCATATATAGCACAGTCTAGTCTACATCAAGAGCAGCCAGCGATATATGACATACTGACTAGGGCAGATAAAGAACATCCAATCATATATAGCACAGTCTAGTCCACAAAGAGCAGCCAGCCATATATGATATACTGACTAGTGCAAAAGAACAGCCAATCATATATAGCACAGTCTAGTCCACATTAAGAGCAGCCAGCCATATATGACATACTGACTAGGGCAGATAAAGAACAGCCAGTCATATATAGCACAGTCTAGTCTACATAATGAGCAGCCAGTCATATATGACATACTGACTAGTGCAAAAGAACAGCCAATTATATATAGCACAGTCTAGTCCACATAATGAGCAGCCAGCCATATATGATATACTGACTAGGGCAGATGAAAAACAGCCAATCATATATAGCACAGTCTAGTCCACATAAAGAGCAGCCAGCCATATATAACATACTGACTAGGGCAGATAAAGAACAGCCAATCATATATAGCATAGTCTAGTCTACATAATGAGCAGCCAGTCATATATGACATACTGACTAGTGCAAAAGAACAGCCAATTATATATAGCACAGTCTAGTCCACATAATGAGCAGCCAGCCATATATGATATACTGACTAGGGCAGATAAAGAACAGCCAATCATATATAGCACAGTCTAGTCTACATAATGAGCAGCCAGTCATATATGACATACTGACTAGGGCAGATGAAAAACAGCCAATCATATATAGCACAGTCTAGTCCACATAAAGAGCAGCCAGCCATATATAACATACTGACTAGGGCAGATAAAGAACAGCCAATCATATATAGCACAGTCTAGTCTACATAATGAGCAGCCAGTCATATATGACATACTGACTAGTGCAAAAGAACAGCCAATTATAAATAGCACAGTCTAGTCCACATAATGAGCAGCCAGCCATATATGATATACTGACTAGGGCAGATAAAGAACAGCCAATCATATGCCTAGTCCACATAATGAACAGCCAGCGTTATATGATATGCCAACTAGTGCAAAAGAACAGCCAATCATATATAGCACAGTCTAGTCTACATAATGAGCAGCCAGTCATATATGACATACTGACTAGTGCAAAAGAACAGCCAATTATATATAGCACAGTCTAGTCCACATAAAGAGCAGCCAGCCATATATGATATACTGACAAGTGCAGATGAACAGCCAATCATATATACCAGTCTAGTCCACATAATGAACTGCCAGCGTTATATGACATTCTGACTAGGGCAGATGAACAGCCAATCATATAGCACAGTCTAGTCCACATAAAGAGCAGCCAGCCATATATGATATACTGACTAGTGCAAAAGAACAGCCAATCATATATAGCACAGTCTAGTCCACATTAAGAGCAGCCAGCCATATATGACATACTGACTAGGACAGATAAAGAACAGCCAGTCATATATAGCACAGTCTAGTCCACATCAAAAGCAGCCAGTCATATATGACATACTGTCCGGTGTTGTGTGCAAAATCACTGTAGGGTTTAAAGATTCATGAAGCCAGGACTTGGTTGAGCTTTGGTTGACATTTGGGAATGTAAACGTTTCAGCCACTTCCAGCTGGTGTATCAGAGGTATATGTAATGAAATACACTGCTGACTGCAAACTCCCCGAGTTGTGTGGGGAATGTGAGATCTGTGTAGGTCGACAGCATGAGGGCGTGGGGAACCCTGAGTGTTGATGAAAATGTGAAATCCATGTTCAACTGAGAGTGGGTGGTGATGAGTCCTGTGGTAGTTTGAATCAGTCAGTAGCTGTTAGTTTGTCTAACTGTGTGGACGTGTGTTGCGTATTTATGACAAGTGTATGCATGGACGGTATTTAAGCAGTGTTTTATTCTGTCTGGATGACTGTGGTGGATCCAAGTTGCACTTAGGAATTCTGTCTGTGTAATTTCCAGAATTGATGGTTGTGCAGTCCGTGTATTTGTGGAGTTGGCATTGTTGCAGCTGTTGGGCATGTGGTTGATGGAGGTATCTATAAGGGCACAAAAGGTGCAGAGGACCTTGTATGTGTTTACAAACATGGAGTTGTGATGGGGGAAAGTTTGGAGGGACTGCTGATGTGAATATTTGGAAGGCAGTAGAAGACTTGACAGGTGCCATCGATCACCACTCATCTTCGTCATTGTCTTCGTCCAGAATAAAGAGACTGATCGCACTATAAGATCATACTTGGTGTGGTGTATTATATTACCATACTTGTACACAATATTGGTGGTTACTTAAGGACAAATTAGTTGTTGCCTGTGCCTTGATTATAGTGGTGCTCTTGTTTGGGTTGGCCCTCCATTATGCCAGTTATAATTACCATCAGCATGTGCCGTGCCAAGGAAAAGTGGGCTTCATGGTTGGTGGATAGACGGAATCCAGTATGGAGGTGTGAAGGACAGACACTTATTATCCAAAGCCCCTAGATACTTGGCCAGTGTGCGATGCCTCTGACAGATCAAATGTGATGTCTGGTACACACGAAGAACAGCCAATAATATATTTTGTACTGTCTAGTACATATGGGCACCCAGTCATATATGGCGTACTGACTAATAAACATGAAGAACAAACAGTCACATATAACACACTGACTCGTATACATGAAGAGCTGCCAACCACGTATAGCAAACTGGCTTCTTCTTCTTCTTAAAGTCTATGCCTTATGGTATTGGTAGTCATGGTACACATAAAGAACAACCAGTCAACATGCATAAAGAAGTCAGTCAAAGATGGTGAATTGTCTGGGGGAAAGGAACAGAAAGAGAGAAAATTAAGTTAGTAGTGCAGCAACATTGCACATTTTTTTCAACCTTAGTGGATCTGTAAAATGTCATTCATTTTACCCACAGTTCATTTGGCACAAGCATCTCCAACATGTTTAAGAAAAAAGATGATAAAAGACGACCAAGTGCCTCAGAAGCTGATATTAAAGTTGACATGACTACTTCAAGTATCATAGAACAAGAATCTACATTTACTGAGAGTTTAGAGGTCAGTCTGTATTTCTTTTATCCACTTCCTCTGTTTTTATTGAATGTCTTTGAACACCATTGTTGGTGGGTATTATACACTTGGTATAAGATAGGAATTATGAACATAAATGATAGGTGCATACTACAGTAACAATTACATAAATGAAGCAAATAAGTGAATCCTTTATAAATGAAGTACAATTTCAACAACGATCAAATATGACTGCCTGTTTTTTACCTGGGCAGCTGTAGAGAAAGAACCATCTCTTTCTAAATACAGAGTTCTGGGCGCAGGTGACGAATCGGGCAACCTTCGAGAAATCTTAGCGTTCTGCAGTTGGTTGACTTATGAAGGATTTGAAATGATTTCTCTTTAGTCACCACGTGTCCAGATTTTAGAAGATGGCGTGCTATTGCAGAGGGGTGAACTTTGCGGCCAATGTTCTCATTTTGAATACTTCTGTAACTGGTATAGTTTAATTGTTAACTTTGTTTCCTATTTGGAATTACAGTAAAACTTTGATTAAATATCACCGTCTGGACCAGACCGGTGACAGATAAGGGAATAGATAGATAACAGATATCTCTTGTACAGTAAACTGATTTCACCGTGGGCTTGTGACGAAAATGAAAATAAAATCTGTTTAAAGAAACAATACATATATATTGTATTTAATTTCACAAAATGATCAATATCTTCTTCCTCTTCTTTCCTCTACTCCTGCAATGCCTCAGGAAGAGATCTCTGGAATGGGCCTTTCTGTTCACTCAGTATAAAGTACTTTTTAGTGTTTCTGATATTTCTGCAGTCTATTTTTAGCGTAGTCAACCTCTGGCTCTGTTACCATTGCATTGTATAGCATTGCTCTCTGTGGTGCCCTGTCTGATGCCAATCTTGTTACATAGCCAAACCATTTGATTTGTTGTCTACCTATAAAGTTCAGTATTGGTTCCGTGCCAACTCTGTTTTTGATATCTTCATTCCTAAGTCGATCTTTCCTCATTACACCTAGCATAGTACGTCAATATTTCATTTCTGTCATGACTATTTTCCCTCACTTCTGAGGACAGTGTCCATACCTCGATTGCACAGCAATATGTAAAATCCTTCACCTGCTTTAGCTGGTATTCATCAATTTTGATATTGGTGGTTCTTCCTTTTCTGGAGAATATCATCACTTCTGTTGTCTACATTGATCTTTGTATCATAGTTGTTGCATTCTGAGTGGAGTGTGTTCTTGTAGCTGTACTGCTGTTGGTGTTGTGACTGCCTGGTCATCGGCGATCAATATAAACTTCAGTATAAGAGTATTGATGTACAGACATGTATTGTAATACTATATACCTATGTTATTTTAAAATGTCTATTTGTTTGTTGATACTCACATATTATTTTTAGACTGTGACGGATAACAGAAACTGACAGTTAAATTTAATCAAAGTTTTACTGTATATTAAAGCAGTAATAATTAATTTTAGGTCGTCAGAGAGGCGGAAATAAACTTAGACAGTGTTGGTGAGCCTGTGAAAGTGGCAACATTTGCTCCTGAGCTGGAGGTACCGGGTGAAAAATGTGAGCCAGTGCCAAAATCACCCAGGGAGAAACCTGCATTTGACAGACTAGCTATACTACCTCCTTTCAAGAAACTAGAGACAAGAGCTACGTCATTGGCTACTGCAGAGGATACTACACTAGAAGTCACACATACTGGTGAGCAGAGTATTTGTAAACTGGAAAATGTTTTGCAGTATTTGCATGTTTTATTATTTGGTTTCTGTAAGATGATTTGAAATGGTACATGTTTTTAAAATGATACCAGAGGTATTGCTTCTGGAGAACAATGAAAACATTTACTAATAAACAGCCAACATTCATTAACTGGCGCCTACAAAGAGTAGAAAAAATAAAATAGTATGACAGAATTACTAATTTGGAACTTTCAGAGAGAACTAAATAAGTTCCAGTGAATCGAGACTTAACAAAGTCAATAAAATCAAATATCTGGGAACAATCGTATAATCAGATGGAAAATATGTGACAGAGATTGAAAGCAGAATAGGTCAAGCGAAAGCTGCATTTCAGAAAAAGAAAAATATCTTATGCAATAAATCGTTCTCATTTAATATCAGAAAGAGGGTGCTGAAATGTTACATAGAACCTGTTCTGCTGTATGGCAGCAAATCTTGGAATGTCAGTGAACAAATCAAGAATTTGGAAGCAACAGATGTGGTTTCTTAGACAAATGTTACGAATACCTTGGACGGCCAGAGTAACTAACAATGATTGCTTGAAAGAAGCTAATGAAAGTAGATCTCTATATACAACAATAAGAAAGAGACAAACTGTTCTTTGGCCACATAATGAGAAGAAAGACATTGGAGAGCATCGTGATAACTGGAAAGATCAATAAAAAAAAGGATAGAGGCAGAGCAAGAGAGATGATGCTGGATGGGCTGAAACGATAGCATGGAGGAATATCATCAAGAGTGCTGTTCCAGGCAACCAGGGATCATGATCTGTGGAGACGCATGAGCGCCTACCCCAGTTGGCAGGGCACATGATGATGATGATGATGAATCAAGAGGTGAAGAAAAGAAACTGATTTTGGATAGGCCACATGTTGAGAAAACTTGAGAACGATATAACTAGAATGCCTTTACACTGGAGCCCACAGGGACATAGAAATAGATAAAGGCATTAAAAAAACATTGAGAAAGTAATTAGAGAGTGAGGTTATGTGAATTGGGAGACATGAAGTGAACTGCACACAATGGCATGGGAGACATGAAGTGAACTGCACACAATGGCATGGGAGACATGAAGTGAACTGCACACAATGGCATGGGAGACATGAAGTGAACTGCACACAATGGCATAGGAGACATGAAGTGAACTGCACACAATGGCATGGGAGACATGAAGTGAACTGCACACAATGGCATGGGAGACATGAAGTGAACTGCACACAATGGCATGGGAGACATTAAGTGAACTGCACACAATGGCATGGGAGACATGAAGTGAACTGCACACAATGGCATGGGAGACATGATGTGAACTGCACACAATGGCATGGGAGACATGAAGTGAACTGCACACAATGGCATGGGAGACATGAAGTGAACTGCACACAATGGCATGGGAGACATGAAGTGAACTGCACACAATGGCATGGGAGACACGAAGTGAACTGCACACAATGGCATGGGAGACATGAAGTGAACTGCACACAATGGCATGGGAGACATGAAGTGAACTGCACACAATGGCATGGGAGACACGAAGTGAACTGCACACAATGGCATGGGAGACATGAAGTGAACTGCACACAATGGCATGGGAGACATGAAGTGAACTGCACACAATGGCATGGGAGACATGAAGTGAACTGCACACAATGGCATGGGAGACATGAAGTGAACTGCACACAATGGCATGGGAGACATGAAGTGAACTGCACACAATGGCATGGGAGACATGAAGTGAACTGCACACAATGGCATGGGAGACATGAAGTGAACTGCACACAATGGCATGGGAGACATGAAGTGAACTGCACACAATGGCATGGGAGACATGAAGTGAACTGCACACAATGGCATGGGAGACATGAAGTGAACTGCACACAATGGCATGGCTGAGTTGGTTGAGGGCCTATTTTCCATGGAGGGATAAAGAGCAGAAGAGAAAGGAGTAGTGTTTAAATCGTCATGTGTTATTCAATTATTTCAGTCTCATGGTGTTTAGCATTGGGAGTCCAAGGGATAGTAAAGAGAGATGTCAAATGTGTACATCTTTTGAACACTGGGCTTCTAGGTAGCAACCTGTGAACATATGGTGTGCCTCTTAGGACTGAGAGAGACAGCTTTAATATGTTAGGACAAAAATGCATTAATAAAAGAAGCCTGAAATATTGATTGGACCACGGCAGCTATTTTAAGGTGCTTGAAATATTGTTTGCAGGAGATTCAGTTTGTACATTGGTTTCATCTCTGTTTAACAGAGGCAGAAGAGAAAATTTGTACATTAGTTTCAATTTTGTTTAACAGAGGCAGACGATACAATTTGTAAATTAGTTTCAATTTTAACAGAGGCAGAAGAGACAATTTGTACATTAGTTTCAATTTTGTTTAACAGAGGCAGAAGATACAATTTGTACATTAGTTTCAATTTTAACAGAGGCAGAAGAGACAATTTGTACATTAGTTTCAATGTTGTTTAGCAGAGGCAGAAGAGACAATTTGTACATTAGTTTCAATTTTGTTTAACAGAGGCAGAAGATACCATTTGTACATTAGTTTCAATTTTAACAGAGGCAGAAGAGACAATTTGTACATTAGTTTCAATGTTGTTTAACAGAGGCAGAAGAGACAATTTGTACATTAGTTTCAATGTTGTTTAGCAGAGGCAGAAGAGACAATTTGTACATTAGTTTCAATGTTGTTTAACAGAAGCGGAAGGTACAGTTTGTACATTAGTTTCAACTTTGTTTAACAGAGACAGAAAGTACAGTTTGTACATTAGTTTCAATGTTGTTTTACAGAGACAGAAGGTACAGTTTGTACATTAGTTTCAATGTTGTTCAACAGAGCTTGAAGACAAAACAACTTTGTCTGTAACGGTGCCACCATCAAATGAAACAGAATCACACAAAGATGAGGGGTCTAAATTACCCACAAATCTGTCGAAGATGTCGGGGCTTGGTGTTCTGGGTGTTCTGTTGCATGAGATTAAGCTGACACAAGAGAAGAGACTTTCAAGGGCACACACCTTAGAGGAGGTATGGTCATTGAAATATAAAGAAAACTTAATGTATACAACTTTGCACTGTTAATGTTTGAATAATTTACTTGACTCTAATTCATCTCATTGCACTCAAGACATTCCCATATGTGCTCCGTCTCTTTCAGGGGATGTCAAAATATAGAGATGCTATTTGTTTCTGCAGTGTAAAGATTATATAATTACACATATGCTGTCCCTTTCTCTGATTACGCCAGCCATACTACACAACCTGCCAATCACATTTTTAATGGCAGGCGCAGATATTCACCGCACTACACAACTTGCCAACCACAATTTTAAGGGTAGGCGCAGATTTTGACCACACCGCACAACCTGCCAACCACAATTGTAAGGGTAGGCGCAGATATTCACCACACCGCACAACCTGCCAACCACAATTGTAAGGGTAGGCGCAGATATTCACTACACTGCACAACCTGCCAACCACAATTTTAAGGGTAGGCGCAGATATTCACCACACCGCACAACCTGCCAACCACAATTGTAAGGGTAGGCGCAGATATTCACCACACCGCACAACCTGCCAACCACAGTTTTAAGGGTAGGCGCAGATTTTCACTACACTGCACAACCTGCCAACCACAATTTTAAGGGTAGGCGCAGATATTCACCACACCGCACAACCTGCCAACCACAATTGTAAGGGTAGGCGCAGATATTCACCACACCGCACAACCTGCCAACCACAATTGTAAGGGTAGGCGCAGATATTCACCACACCGCACAACCTGCCAACCACAGTTTTAAGGGTAGGCGCAGATTTTCACTACACTGCACAACCTGCCAACCACAGTTTCAAGGGTAGGCACAGATTTTCACTACACTGCACAACCTGCCAACCACAATTTTAATGGCAGGCACAGATTTTCACCACACTGCATAACTTGCCAACCACAATTTTAAGGGTAGGCACAGATATTCACCACACTGCACAACCTGCCAACCACAATTTTAATGGCAGGCACAGATTTTCACCACACTGCACAACTTGCCAACCACAATTTTAATGGCAGGCACAGATTTTCACCACACTGCACAACCTGCCAACCACAGTTTCAAGGGTAGGCACAGATTTTCACTACACTGCACAACCTGCCAACCACAGTTTCAAGGGTAGGCGCAGATTTTCACTACACTGCACAACCTGCCAACCACAGTTTCAAGGGTAGGCGCAGATTTTCACCACACTACACAACCTGCCAACCACAGTTGTGAGGGCGGGTGCAGATATTCCCTACACTACACAACGTGCCAATCACATTTTTGAGGGCAGGCACAGATATTCACCACACTACACAACCTGCCAACCACAGTTGTGAGGGCGGGTGCAGATATTCCCTACACTACACAACGTGCCAATCACATTTTTGAGGGCAGGCACAGATATTCACCACACTACACAACCTGCCAGCCACAGTTTTAAGGGCGTGTGCAGATATTCACCACACTGCATGAACTACCAACCACAGTCGTGAGGGCAAGCCTAGATATTCACCACACTGCACAACCTGCCAGCCACAGTTTTAAGGGCGTGTGCAGATATTCACCACACTGCATGAACTATCAACCACAGTCGTGAGGGCAAGCCTAGATATTCACCACACTGCACAACCTGTCAACCACAGTTGTGAGTGTGGGCGCAGAAGACAGAAAATAACAAACCAGCTCATTTAGTACCTGCATTACCTGGGCCTGAGGGAATAAAGACTGCATGCCCTAATTAAAGCCACAGTGTACAGACTGATGTTCTTTATTTTGCTTCATAACCTTCAGTAGATACAATCTTTAGATTTTCCCAGGTATTCAGATTTGAGGGACAAATAATTGTTTAATTATTCACTTCTTGTTCATCAATCCTTGAAAATGGTTGGCACGGGGTAATGTGGTTTACATCTAGGCTGTGATATCTGCACCTTCCGGCCTAACATGTGAGGTTTCATCATATCCTTTTTTAGTCACCTATTGAGGCATGTTTTTTAGAGAGGCAATGCCCCCATCTCCAAAAAAATTGGATGAGATCATTCTTTAAGATGTTTTGATTCAAAAGTTAATCTTACTTTCACAGAAAGTGTCTGTTATAAGTTATTTTGAAATTGGTATACATTTTCAGCTTTCAGACAGCATCATATGTTGGAAACTTCTTGTTTTTAGCATCCAACATTTGTAAACTCTGGCAAAAAGAGCATCCAACATTTGTAAACTCTGGCAAAAAGAGCATCCAACATTTGTAAACTCTGGCCAAAAGAGCATCCAACATTTGTAAACTCTGGCAAAAAGAGCATCCAACATTTGTAAACTCTAGCAAAAAGAGCATCCAACATTTGTAAACTCTGGCAAATAGCTCTGCTTGTTCGTCCACTTCTTGACTGGTCTTGTTCCGGATCTTGAGTTCTGCATTCATCTGTTTGACACATCTCACTTATTTGTATGCAGACAGACGGTACCTCACCACTCAGGTAGAGGTACTCCATCTTTAAAGGAAACACCCCTACAACACATCTTTTGTGACAAGCTTGTTGCGTGTGAGGCCCCAGTTTATGGCGATCTTTGAAACTGTGATAACTTATTAACTCTCTCAGTACCCTACTACTCCTTGTACATTGAGCTGTGCCTCCTATCATATATTATTATTAACATTTATTTTCATGCACCCTGTGTGGGTTTAGAGGCCCCATGTATGGGGGTGGGGGAGGGGGTGGGGAGATAAATTTACTGTCTCTTAATAAGCATGTCTTAAAAGGCGAGTTTGCTGAAATCAGATGTGTTAGACTGAAAAACACAGATATCTTGACCTGGCAGTAAACCACAATAATATGCCTGCTGCTGTTTTAAGGGTGAGCACAGGAGAAGAAGAACAAGAAATAGTTCCCATTCAGTTGTTTCATTAAGCTCTTCTGCCTCAAGACCTACAGGAATATGCCAGTGTATTAGGAATGAACAGGCAGATAGACTGACTGGTTCTGCACTGCTTGGCCTGAAAAGCTAGATATTGTAAGGGCCCTTTGGGAGGAAGTGAACAGTGTTAGGGCACACATAGATCATTACGGTCTGAGGAGAATAGCGCTACAAGGAGTGACCAAGAGATCTAGCTAATGCTCAGCACTCAAGAGAAAGGCGAGATGGATATACAAGCAGACTTTTACTGATACCATCGGAATTGGAACTGTCTGCTTGCTGCTGAAAAATGGGATGAAGCAGTTATGGGAATGTCCTGAGTGCTGTGATGTCAATTCTTTATTCAACACACCTCAGTTGTAGCCTGAATCCTTTTTAAAAAAAATAGTTTTATTATTTTAATTTCTTCATACCAAGGTGAAGAAATTTCTGTAGAAATAACCAGTTACAGTAGGATTGACCTAGGACTCTTTTTTCATTCACCAGCTATAAACTCTGGTGTAAAGTCCTGGTTTTCATTCATTTCTGGACTGTGGCTTTGTTGCAGGACATGAGTTTTTGCTTGTGCATCTGGTTTATAGATCTGGCTTATTTGTATGCAGAATACTGGTTCTTTGCCTCTCACACAGATGCACTCTGACTTTAGAGGGAACACCCCTAATTAGTTGTCTCCTGTGACATGCTTGTTGGGGGGCAGTGTGTCTGTTTTTCCCCCCTCCACACACAGGGACTCATGGGATTAAAAGAGTGAATTATCATAGTAGTTTTAGAAAGAGCAGTGGAACACATTTTTGTTTGAAAGAAAGGGCAGGGATTGACCAGCACATTAGTGGACATAGTACATTTAAGGCATGAACCTATTTGAATGGAGAGAATTGAGCATCTTTCTAGTGAGTTGTGAGAGTCATGCAGTAGTAGCTAGACAATTGGATGCTGGCCTCAAGGTCTTGTGGGCAAAACTGCTTTGGTGCACATTTATATACTTGACTTTGGCTCCCAGTGGTTCTTTCTCTGTCAATTCATGTGTTTCCCATTTCAGTACCTGTTTTGTGATCTTTGCCTGCAGCACCTTTTTTAATGCGCCCAGTAAATTATCATCTTTCTTAGATATGGATGTAGAAAAGAAATCATTCTCTAATAAGCAAATATGGAAATGAAATCTGCATCAAGATATGTTTTTTCTTGATTGATCCTGGCTCCAAGGTTGACCCGTCCTATTGGCTCCAAGGTTGACCCGTCCTATTGGCTCCAAGGTTGACCCGTCCTATTGGCTCCAAGGTTGACCCGTCCTATTGGCTCCAAGGTTGACCTGTCCTAAAATGGGTACCAGGTGTCCTGGGAGGTCAAGGTAGCTGGTGTGATATTGACAACATGACTCATTCAGTTCCGCTTAGTATATACAAATATTACCTGCCCAATTCACCAAAGGCATTCAAAGAGTTTTGTCACTTGACTTCATGCCTAATATCCTTGCATTCTCGGTCCATATGTGTCCCATTTCAGAGTTGTGATTTTGTTTTCCTGCTGCATCTACATCTCATAATCTGCCCAGCTTCTATCTTAGATATGTAAAGAAGAAAAAAATAATCTCTGCAAATTTTGAAATGTAGCCTATTTATGTTTCAGTTAACTTTTTAGATTCTAGAACTGTCACAAATATGTGTATCATCTGCAGGATGAGAGTGATTCACCGAAAGCCAGGGAAGTCAGCAAAAAAACTGGTGAAGATAGTCAGAGAGAGCATGACATTGAGTCTTCAACCAATGATGCCAGGAGGGCTTCTAAATTTAAACAGCTCCCTGAACCAGCTTCAGGGGACACCTTTAGTAAGAAAGATCTGAATGATAACACTTCAGACTCGGCACCAACTAGCTTGCCTGCCAAGCCTCTACTTCCACCTCATCAGAGCAAGATGCCTATGCTTGTACCCAGAACAAAACGTCCAGTGTCGACTGTTGAAGAGGGTGGACACATTCAAGAAGTCCCAAACTCAATGACAGCATCAACTCCAGAGCTTTTACTTGGAGATAGTCCTGGTGAATATTTACTTATATGTGTTGTCATGTTGAGGAGTGAGTAGCCTGGCTGAGGCCTGGCAAAGTTGGTCTCTCATGCATAAGAACAAAGTTCAAATTCACAATACAGTAATTACAGTTTCTTCTGTTGGGGGCAAAAATAAGAATTCTAACCTGAATATCCAGGCTCAGAAACAACCCTGTCCTTCACTGCCATAAAAAGTAAATGCAGGTTGTCACTATTACTGCTGTCTGTACTTACTGTTGTTTTTTAGGCGGGGGAGGGGGGTTAACGCTGCATGGATAGTGCTCTTGCCATGGACTGTGCAGGTTAGGATGTTTATTTTAGCCCTGGACAGAAAAACTCCGTCACCTTACCAGGGGTCCAACTCTGGTCTCCTGCATTGAGGACCCAACATAGTGACCACTGGGCCACTCTGTTCCTCAGTCCAGGCAGTAAGGAATGTTGAGAAAAGAAATGTCATTCGTTGCCATGGTAATACATTTGCTAGCAGATTTACCTGCAGGCCCAGTGGTCATGGGTTACAGTTCTAGGCAGACTTGTAGAAATCTTTGTAAAAATTTTACATGTGTTCCCAGAGTAACCCAGTCTAAAATGGCTGGCTAAAAATGTGAGAAGAAAAAGCTGCTGACCTAATTTTGACCACATCATCCACTGAATGTCACTTGGTGTATACAAATATGGGGCCCAGTCTGCTGCCATTGAACAAGCATGAACAAGAGAGACCCTGTTTTTATCAACAGCAAATAAAAAAAATCATAAACTAGCTTGAAAGCTGAAAATAAAATTAATTATCCTAATAATGTGAAAGAAAAATGAACCAAAACTCAGAAGTCGAGAAAACAAAACAAGACACAAAGTAAAAGAACAAGCATTTTTATGTTTCTTTCTTTTGTCTAGCTTCCCAGTCATTTTGCATTCCTATTTGTGTTAATCAGGTCAGTTACAGTCATCTTTGTCTTCAAACGAATGAAGAAACTTTATTTTCACAGGGTTACAAATTGGGCACAAAGGCCTGTTTTACATTTGGTCCTTCTAAACAACCATCTTTTACAGATCAATTGTATTTTACCAGTAAAGCATACTATGATTATAGAACAGTATGCATAATATGAAAATCAAGGAAAAAACACAAAATTGTGGGTAGGTAAATGCACTATAATACTAATAGGCAAATTTCCACTAAGTTGCGGATGGTGGAGTGGCCTCTAGATACAGAGATTAGCTACAGTTATTTTGAATAAGCAGCTGTGGACCAACAAAGGTGGTGGTCACTGAGAGGAGTCGAGTTAATTGGTGGGACAGCTGGCTCCATAAAATACTTTGTCAGCACACAAACAAACATGCTGTTAAAGATCACAGAATGTGAAGAGGCATGATCGCCCACGTCAGTCGGCAAGGCATTTGATGATGTTGATTGTATGTCCTTACTCTTGTGTTACTGAATTCTTTAAGAGGAAGCATGGAGTACTAACTCTGTAACCTAGTGTGTTGATGGAGGCAATTAAGTGTGGTTGATGTGTGGTGCCTCATGCAGTAGTCATCTTGAGCTGTAAAATCTCATCAGTTCATACACAAGCCCACAAAAGGCAGGATTTAGTTAGTTGTAATCTTGGGCTCCACTGGGGGACAGAAAACATAAGAAGAAGAATCTGTAATTTGTTTTCTAAACATTCCGATTTGATCTCTTTTAGCAAAATGAATACCATCATGAGATAAAGTCTCTTTTTTATAGAACATCACTTGCATCACGGCACACTGAAAAAGCCTTTCAGTCAACTGGTAGTCTGGTAGTCTTAGTTTCAGCTTCATAGCAAATGGGTCACCCCATTGTTGCTCCGCTCCTGTGCTAATGAAAAATACACTGAATGTTTATCACAGTCCCTTGTGGAAAGACTGACAGACTGCTGTCTCATCATATCTAGCATACACACGCATCAAAAGCATATGGTAGCCATCCGAAGTGCTAACACAAACAGTCCGAAATTAGAAATGCAGTTCATCATTGATGGTAGCAGAAGTCAACAAAAGATGAGCAGTTGCACACGCGATCAATTTTAATCACATACGGGCACCACCAACATTGCGACAACAGGTATCGCACCATTTTCTGAATCTACAATTCACACCAGCACGTTGGTTACAGTCGAAAAAAACATTCCAAAGGAAATCCACAGCTCACCAGCCATGCATTCAACTCAGCAGCTGGGCGACGAAACTATATCCTTTCAGTCTACAAATGGAGCAAAAAATGCAACGGCCACCTTCTGGCAGAAGTAAAATATTTGCCTCGGTTCCAAACAGTGGCCATGCCTAGCGTTCATTTTGACCTGAACATTGAGATTACAATATCATGCCTTTTGTGGGCTTGTTTATGAACTGATGGGATTTTGCAGCTCAAGATGACTATGGGATGAAGTAGATGGTCTCCCATCAACCTCACCTCATTGCCTCCATTGACACACTAGGTTACAGACTACATAGTAGTCAACTACTAACTCTTTCGACTCATATACTCTTATGCACACAGTGTCCTTGATATCCTCTTCTCCTACAAGCCATACCCTGCATGATTGTTTTTCCAAACCAGTATGGCTGCACATAGTGGTTTTTTTCTTGTTTCATTATTACGTGATACACACAACATAAATAATGATATCCATTCTGTTTGAAAAATTCGTTAATTTTTTTGCTCACCTTAGGCAGCAAGCCACGACCCACACCGCCTGTGAAACCACGTCCGCCTGTTCTCCCTAGACCAAAGAAAAGAGATTCTGGCAAAGATTTTGGAGCAGAGGAGACCTTAGGTAAGAGTTGTACCCTGATCTGGCATGTGTAATTACAGGTTTCATTCTCTTCTTGATTCACTTCCAGCATGTGTATTCACGGGTTTCATTTTCTTCTTGATACAGTTCTAGCATGTGTAATCATAGGTTTCTTTCTCTTTTTGATACAGTTCCAGTATGTGTAATCATAGGTTTCATTCTCTTTATGATACAGTTCCAGCATGTGTAATCACAAGTTTCATTATCTTCTTGATACAGTTCCAGCAGGTATATTCACAGGTTTCAATCTCTTTCTTGATACAGTTTTAGCATGTATATTTACAGGTTTTATTTTCTTTCTTGATAAAATTATAGCATTTATATTCACATGTTTCATTCTCTTCTAGGTATGGTTCTGGCATATGTAATTCCAGGTTCATTCTCTTCTTGGTACGGTTCTGGCGTATGCATTTATAATTCCAGGTTTTACTCTCCTATTGGTACGGTTCTGGCATATGTAATTCCAGGTTTCATTTTCTTCTTGGTACGGTTCTGGCATATGTAATTCTAGGTTTCATTCTCTTCTTGGTACGGTTCTGGCATATGTAATTCTAGGTTTCATTATCTTCTGGGTATGGTTCTGGCATATGTAATTCCAGGTTTCATTTTCTTCCTGGTACGGTTCTGGCATATGTAATTCTAGGTTTCATTCTCTTCTTGGTACGGTTCTGGCATATGTAATTCTAGGTTTCATTCTCTTCTTGGTACGGTTCTGGCATATGTAATTCTAGGTTTCATTATCTTCTGGGTATGGTTCTGGCATATGTAATTCCAGGTTTCATTCTCTTCCTGGTACGGTTCTGGCATATGTAATTCTAGGTTTCATTATCTTCTGGGTACGGTTCTGGCATATGTAATTCCAGGTTTCATTATCTTCTGGGTATGGTTCTGGCATATGCAATTCCAGGTTTCATTATCTTCTGGGTATGGTTCTGGCATATGTAATTCCAGGTTTCATTATCTTCTGGGTATGGTTCTGGCATATGTAATTCCAGGTTTCATTATCTTCTGGGTATGGTTCTGGCATATGTAATTCCAGGTTTCATTATCTTCTGGGTATGGTTCTGGCATATGCAATTCCAGGTTTCATTATCTTCTGGGTATGGTTCTGGCATATGCAATTCCAGGTTTCATTATCTTCTGGGTATGGTTCTGGCATATGTAATTCCAGGTTTCATTATCTTCTGGGTATGGTTCTGGCATATGTAATTCCAGGTTTTATTATCTTCTGGGTATGGTTCTGGCATATGCAATTTTGGGTTTCATTATCTTCTTGCACCACCATTGGTGGTTTAGCACCTCTGCCTCCTGAAAGCTGTGAATTAAAAAAAATTGAAATTTCATTATTTTACTGAAATGTGTTCAGTTTACTGGCAATATCTTGCGACCCTGGCACAGTGTTAAAAAATTAATAGTACCCACTACTGAGGCAATCTGTGGTGCTCTTAATATTTCACATTGAGAGAGTCCTTTTTCTGGAATTTTCAGATTTGTGATGACATGACATGTTTGGTATTAGCAGCTATGTCTTTATTATATCAGCTTGGATGCTGCTTATAGCTGCATAGAATATTTACTTGGTGAGTACGGTTATGTATGACAGAAGATGGGATATTATTTGTGGTGAAATATGGTTGCCTGCACACAAATCAGTGAATAATTCTTCAGGATATTCATCTGCCTTTGTGAATTTCCTCCATACATTACTAACATTTTAGATAATTTTAGCCACCTGTGGTATTTTAGCATTTTTTGTGGTGGGGTGGGGGTGGGAGAGAAATCACATCTCTGTGGCCAGCATTTGCTTTCTTATCATGGTATTCACTGTTTATGCTTCATCGTCAGTCTGTAGTTTGTAATACCTTTGTTTTCCGATGTATGATGACTTTACAACACACAAAGTGCATGCTTGTTTTACGGGGAATTATAATTAATTCAGTGTATTGTTGTCTCAGTTTTTATCTGAGTTGCTATCATCATTCCAGGCCCAACATGGTTTATATTTCACATTTATTGAATTGCCTCTACCATCTGAACGTTTTACACATCCTTTCTTATTTGAAATCAAACTTTAGACTGAAGCACATAAATTATTGACACTGATTATTCAACACTGTGAGTATATTTTAGCTTTCATGTTTCACTTTTCTTATTATTCTGGAGCATGCTATATTGCTTTTGTTGTTATCACAGGCTACAATTTATTTTAAGAGCTTGTAAGTTTTGTAATTGTTTTCATTAGTTATACTGTTCTGTGTTAAATTTGTTGCTTTCACTGGAAGAATTAATTTCTACTGTATTGATGAATGATTGAAGAATTGACGTCACTGCATTCAAGACATTCCCGCAAGTGCTCTGTCCCCTTCTTCAGTAGCAAACCTAGAGTTTCTATTCTGATGGTGCTGCTTGCAACCTGACTAAAGGTCCTCCTTATTTTTTCCTCCTTGGAGATGAAACTTGTCCTGACCTTTGACTACTACGAAATAATGTTTTCAGGGAAAAAAATATAGGAGAATTCTTAATTACAAGAAAGTTTTACTTGAAAAATATGTTTCTCTTCTGGAGGTACCATTAACTCCTTCAGTACCAAGCAACTGGCCATAAATTTCTTGGTATTACCACACATAATTCAAAGTTCTTGTATTGTTCTCACACACCTGTGTTATATATACCTGTGTATTTGAAATATTAGTTTATCTACGTCTTTCATGTCATGTCTCAGCTGAATTCCTTTAGATTTAAATATTTATTGCTTTTAAGCTCAACCTCTTGGGATAGAAAGAGTTAAAATAATAACATATCTAAAAGAGTTAAATAAGCTGTAACAATGGCACTAGTGATGTGGCTCTACAACATGCATTAGTTAGATTTCAGTCAGGTTTTCTTTCTCTGTAGTGACTGTCAGTGTTAAAAAAATAATTATTGTTGCCTCTGAGAGCATATAAAGAGTAACAAGTAGAATATTGTGTAGCCAAGTCTGCATTAATCCTTCATTACTGTAGGTTTTTGTGTTCATATTCATACATACACATATGCATATGTGTAGAAGGTTGTGTTTTATTAAATGTACTTGTATGGTCATCTTGTACTCATTAAAATTAATCTGGTCAATTAATCATTGACATAATTCGGTCAGTATAAAAATTTCAAACAGTGTAGTATGTTGGCTTTGAAAGTTGTTATACATAATAACAAAATTAATTTGTTGAAATATATTTTTTGAATAGAGCCTGATATTTTGTTAAATTGGATAGTTTGTTGATTTTATAGGTTTGTTGATTTTATAGTTTTGCAGTGTAAGCATTTCTGTGATGAGAATACATTTATATGTGGTTCATTGTTGTATCTGACAGACCTTGACATCTTGTTCTTCAAATATATCACTCACTGTTGCTTATTTCTTTTGTGTAGCTCCTCTGGCAATATTATGTCACAAACATTTTGCAGTATGCACAGTACTGATGCAGAGTATATAAAAGACATCCTTGCTTTATACCTTGTTTGTATTTAATCAGATTAAACACTTCAGACTAGACATCTTGAAGGCATCACATTTTATTTACTCAAAGTAGTATCTAATTTAAATTATATTCTCTACAACTATCTACTACAGTTTGTCATTAACTATCATACTAGAGTTGATGCAAATAATACATCAAGCTTTTAAAACCATCAATGACACATTATATAAATGTATTATTATTCATAACTAATCAGTATTGATTAAACTTTGTGTTATTGTGTTCAATAATATAAACATTTTAGTTACTGTGTTGCTCACTTCACTTTTCTGTTCATTTATATTTTGTTGCAAAATTTATCTAGATAATTTCAATTCAAGCATGGCATGTAATTTTTATTTTGTTCTCTTCATTTTTCCATAACAACAAATGCATTACCGAGAACAGCTTCTGAAGGTATGTTACCAGCAACGATAAAGTCACCATCATTGGTCATGTCACAAACAGACATCTCAGAGTCAAACAGTTCACAAGTCTCAGATATAGAATTACGCACAAAGCCGAGTAACCAAGAAGAGGGTGTTGTTACAGACTCTGCTACACTTAGGCTGTCTGTGAAAGATAAAATCAAAAGATTGAGTCAGGCAAAAGGTGGGGCTGGTTCTCAAAGCCAAGCCACTCTGTCAGTTCAGCAGAAGAATTCTTCTCTTCCTCCAGACACAAGCTTAACTGAGAACGTTGCAGAAGGTAGGTGCTCACCTCATTGATGTCTTTTTTTTTGGCATGCTACTTCTTGCAGAAGTTAACTAAACACAACACAGACTATGAGGGAGAGAAAGCACTTTTTACAGTGGAAAGTTTTCACCAAAGTCTTAACAATGAAAGCATGGGAATCATAAGCAGCTGAAAAGGTCACATATTACAACATCAGATATATCAACCAACAACAAATGACTAGGAAGGTCATATCATGTGACTCTCTCACTAATTTTTTTTAAATTTTTTATTTTAATCTTTGATAAAGACATTTGTCAGAACATTACATAGTTTTATATGGGCATTTTTTCCTTTCCCTCCGTATTTAACATTACATCTGATTGAATATTGTAAAAGTTGAGAAGACATGTTTTTTTCATGTTTTGTGTTTAAAATTTCATACATGTTCTTTAGAAACTACTTGAGAATTCTATTTGGGTTATTTGATTCATTTATTATTATATTTTTTTAATGCACCCTTTTTAAATGAGAAGGCTTTATTTTTAAATATGTAGAGTTTTATTTTGGTCCTAACATAAACAAAAAAAACTGAAGAACCACTAAAGACATTGAGTGAAAACTAAACACATTAAAGAAAAAAATGCTTGAGCAATTCTATGAACATAAATAGAAACAGTGGAATAATAAAAAGGAAAAAAACATTGGCATTTACCGTTAAAATTAAAACAGTAAAGTTCACTCAGAATATGAGATAAAGACAAGAATAACTTTAACACAGTTCATAAAACATGAAGACAAGAGTAACTTTGACACAGTACATGAAACATGAAGACAAGAGTAAGTTTGACACAGTACATGAAACATGAAGACAAGAGTAAGTTTGACACAGTACATGAAACATGAAGACAAGAGTAAGTTTGACACAGTACATGAAACATGAAGACAAGAGTAAGTTTGACACAGTACATGAAACACGGCGACAAGAGTAACTTTGACACAGTACATGAAACATGAAGACAAGAGTAAGTTTGACACAATACATGAAACACAAAGACAAGAGTAAGTTTGACACAATACATGAAACACGAAGACAAGATTAAGTTTAACACAATACATGAAACACAAAGACAAGAGTAAAGTGGACACAATACATGAAACACGAAGACAAGAGTAAGTTTGACACAGTGTATGAAACACGAAGACAATAGTAAGTTTAACACAGTGTATGAAACACGAAGACAAGAATAAGTTTTACACAATACATGAAACACGAAGACAAGAGTAAGTTTAACACAATACATGAAACACGAAGACAAGAGTAAAGTGGACACAATACATGAAACACAAAGACAAGAGTAAAGTGGACACAATACATGAAACACAAAGACAAGAGTAAAGTGGACACAATACATGAAACACAAAGACAAGAGTAAGTTTGACACAGTGTATGAAACACGAAGACAAGAGTAACTTTGACACAATAAATGAAACACGAAGACAGGAGTAAATTTGACTCAATACATGAAACATGAAAACAAGAGTAAGTTTGACACAGTTCATGAAACACGAAGACAAGAGTAACTTTGACACAATACATGAAACACGAAGACAAGAGTAAGTTTGACACAGTACATGAAACACGAAGACAAGAGTAGGTTTGACACAATACATGAAACAAGAAGGCAAGAGTAAGTTTGACACAATACATGAAACACGAAGACAAGAGTAAATTTGACACAATACATGAAACACGAAGACAAGAATAAATTTGACACAGTACATGAAACACGAAGACAAGAGTAAGTTTGACACAGCATATGAAACATGAAGACAAGAGTAAGTTTGACACAGTGTATAAGCATAAAGACAAGAGTCACTCACTCACTTTGACACAATAAATGAAACACAAAGAAAAGAGTAACTTTGATGAAGTGTATGAAACATGGAAACATGAATAATAACTTTATCATCATCATCATCATCATCAGTCAGTGTGTCCTTTACAGAACGTCATTCTCTTCGCTGCACACCTGAAAGTCTCTCTTTCTCTAGCCAGCTCTCCAGCACTGTGTGCTATCATGGCCAATACATCTTCAGTGTCCTGTATCCACCTTCGTGGAGGGCAGCCTCTTCCTCACTTTCCAGAAACTGCACTCTCCACATTGTTCTCTCCAGACCACCATGGGGCTTGACATGTCCAAAATACCTGCAGCTTTTGGGAGAGGATGCTATTTACGAGCCAGTTCTCCTTGATGTTCAAGTCATGTAGGATGTTGTCATTTTTCTTCTTTGTGGTCCATAGTATTCTTAGAAACTTTCTGTAACATTTTAGTACAAAAGCTCAGGTTTTCTTCTTCAAAGACTGAGTGAAAGTCCAGATTAACATCCATAAGTTGCCACAGGAAAGATGCATAATCGTAAACCTAAAACAACAGATCATGTCCTCCAAGACTGGCCCAAATACAACATACCAACGCCAAGAGAAACATCGGGGCAAGTCAAACTTTACGACTCCCTGAGTGATTTACAAAAGTCAGTGAAGTTCATACTAAAGACAACGTTGCAGATATAGATAATCTGTTTCAAGCAAACGAAAGAAGAAGATACATATCTCAAAACTTTCACTTTAACTTGCTTTTAGATGCTGTGTCATAGATTCCTCATGCTGTGTAGCCTCCGCATGGCTCAAGCAAGTCTTTTTCTGACTTCTTTTGTGCAGTCACCATTGTTGTTCATTGTTGAGCCTAAATAATCAAAACCTGTGACAATTACAAACTCTTCATTGTTGATTTTAATACATTGTTTGTGTGCTGTAGTCACTGTGGACATTATCATAGTTTTTGCCAGATTCAGAAATAAATTCTTTTTCTTTATTCTTTTCTTCACTTTTGACAGTCAGAATTAATTTGTCTAAGCCCTGTACATTGTGGGAAATTAGAGCTGAGTCGTCTGCATGTCTAAGTTCTGTGATAGGTCTACCTCCAAATTTTGAATGGATCGAAGGTGTCACTGGCCTCTTCACTAATTGCCAGTGTTGGGAAATGTAGACAAGAAAAAATTGTATACGTTGTATGGCACACAAAGACATGAGTAATTCTGACAGCACATAAAATGTGAAGATTGTGAAATTAAAATCCACTGACTTGCCACTTAATTTTACTAATAAAGCTCAATCTGATATTAATTAGCTTGTTTCTGTTTACTATACTTACTATAGTCACTCTTTCTCCATTAAAGATTTACATCCCTGCAATTCCTGAGACATTTTTCTTTATTCATCTGAATGTATTTCACTCTTATATTATAATTTTCTTTCTTCCTTTGTCCTTCTTCTTTTGTTAGTTGCATACCTTGTGTTAGTGTCATTTTGTGCTTCTCTGGTGTCTCTTTTACTCCTTCCGTCCATGTCTTTGTTAGTTGTCCTCTTGGCTTGTAGCAGTCTGTTCTCATGTAGTATGCTTTAGTTGCTGGCTGATTTTGTTCCATTTTTGACCAGTGACCAAACCATTTGATTCTTTGATGTTCTATAAAATTATATATTGTTACTATGGCTACCATGGTTCTTAGTTCTTCATTGTTGACTCTATATCTTCTTGTTTTAGCCCACCATATTTCTTATACTCTCATCTCACATGTTTTAAGTTTACATTTATGTTTTTCTAGGACTGTCTATATTTGGCATTAATAGCACCGAGTTGCACATTTATCAGCTGCTGTGTGTGTGCATCTCGATATTTTGATTCTTACCCAAATGGTACTGTTTGATAATTTATGTTGCTGGTTTTCTGTATTCTTGTTTCTATGTTTTGTCTAGTCCCAGGCATCTTCAATGAATACACTGCCTAGGTACTTAAACTCCTGGGCTTATTTTAATGTCTCTCCTTGGACAGTGATGATATGTTAAACTTGTGTTCTATTTCCCGTCATTATATTGTAATCATGGTACCTACATTAATTTCAGAATTACAGGGAAATGGAAAAGTGGGCTCCAGCAAGGCTGAGACAGCAACACCCGAGCAGGACAACTCTGCACCAGGAGAAGCAGCGGAGGACAAACTGGTGTGCAGCCAAACACCAGACAGTTGTCTGCTGAGTCAACCAGATGATGAAATTATGGTGTAATCTTGTTGCTCTTCTAGCTATTATTGTTATTTCTTGCACACCTTTTACCATAATCAGTGTTGACAAGCAAAAATGTGCAATTATAATGGACATTTATTATTGATGTCAAAGTATAAAGTATATCATTACATTCAAATTGTGTACATAATTGACATTGTATCACAAACTATCTATCATATGCTTGACAGCAGCCTTCTTACTGTTTTTCTCTGTTGATTCCCCAAATAAATACTTCCAATATAAAAAATATTTTTAAAAAACAACTGCAGTCCATTTGTCGTTTTAAACATTCATATTTGCACACCTTTGTTTAAAATAGCCTTGTTAAAACATGTAGAACTTATTTGTTGCTGTATTTGCTGAAGTGATAAGATGTAAGGGACCACCAAGTTTAACTCTTTGAGTCCCAGGGGGTTTAACATTATAGGCCCAAGGGGTAGTCAAGAAAGATGTAAAGTCAGTGCATCTTGCGTTCACTGAGCCTCTAGGCAGGAACCTATAAAGTATGATACGTTCCTTGAGACTCAAAGAGCTAAAAGCCAATATTGTTTTGTTGGTATTTGCTTAGCCAATAATTGTTGTGCTTTGTTTTCTTGTCTCAGGTCATTAATTGCTGGTCAATTTGTTGATGAATTAGTAAAGTTTATAGCATTATTGGTTCAGCTGTTAATTTCAGCCAGAAATATGGTGTCTTGACAATATGATTGGGTCCTGTTTTTTTTTTTTTAAATAGTTTTACAATATGGAAAAACTTTTACAGTGCATAAAAAGGCCTGTTTGTTGTTTTAATTTCATTATGTTTTTATTGGTGACCTTTTAGAAATCATTAAATGTAGTATATGGTTAAACTCTCTGTAAGCTGAGATGGTCAACATATACCATGCTAAGGTTTGGACAAGTAATGATTGAACGAGGCCAGAAACATTTGATGTAGCGTATGGTTAAACTCTCTGTAAGCTGAGATGGTCAACATATACCATGCTAAGGATTAGACAAGAAATGATTGAATAAGGCCAGAAACATTTGATGTAGCGTATGGTTAAACTCTCTGTAAGCTGAGATGGTCAACACATACCATGCTAAGGATTAGACAAGAAATGATTGAATGAGGCCAGAAACATTTGATGTAGCGTATGGTTAAACTCTCTGTAAGCTGAGATGGTCAACATATACCATGCTAAGGATTAGACAAGAAATGATTGAATGAGGCCAGAAACATTTGATGTAGCGTATGGTTAAACTCTCTGTAAGCTGAGATGGTCAACATATACCATGCTAAGGATTAGACAAGAAATGATTGAATGAGGCCAGAAACATTTGATGTAGCGTATGGTTAAACTCTCTGTAAGCTGAGATGGTCAACATATACCATGCTAAGGATTAGACAAGAAATGATTGAATGAGGCCAGAAACATTTGATGTAGCGCATGGTTAAACTCTCTGTAAGCTGAGATGGTCAACATATACCATGCTAAGGATTAGACAAGAAATGATTGAATGAGGCCAGAAACATTTGATGTAGCGTATGGTTAAACTGTCTGTAAGCTGAGATGGTCAACATATACCATGCTAAGGATTAGACAAGAAATGATTGAATGAGGCCAGAAACATTTGATGTAGCGTATGGTTAAACTCTCTGGTAGCTGAGACGATGAGTGTAAATCAGTTGAGAACTTGACAAAAAATGAAATAATGAGGCTAGAAACATTTGATATATCTTCTTAGTCTTTAGTCAAGCTTTCAACACCTCAGCACAAGCACTGCACAGATGTTAGGCATTCCACATGATATATCATGTAGTTAAACTGTCTGGTAGTGGAGGTGATATGTAATCAATTTAATTGCTTGTCAAGAAATAATTGACTGTAGCCCAGACATTGGAAGTAGTGTAAATATTTCAACTTTCAACCAGTTATGATCATGTATCCATAAGTTGTGTTATTATGTGTTGTTATGCTGATGAAACCGTTTTGATAGCGACAAGTCAGAAAGAACTACAGGAATAGATAGATACAGTGGTGGTAGAAAATGATAAAATGGGCATCGGTTTGAATAATTAAAAGACAGAAGTGATGGTGATGTCCAAGAAAAGAACAGTGCCTAAATGTATATTAAAAGTTAGAGGCTTTATTTTAGGACAAATGCATAAATTTAAGTATCTAGGCACATGGGTAACACCCAATAGAAGACATATCACAGCGATAAAGAATAGAATAGGACAGGCTAAAACTGCATTTTACAAAATGAAGAACATTTTTTGTATTAAATCCATATCATTGGAGTTTAGGAAAAGAATTCTTGCATTCTATATAGAGCCAGTTTAAACATACGTCTGTGAAGCCTGGACAATTAATAAACAAGTCAAACAATTTCTTGAGGCCTTAGAGATGTGGTTTTACAGGAGAATCCTTAGAATTCCTTGAAAAGCTAAGAAGAGCAACCCAGATGTTTTGAAAAAGGCGAGTGCTCGAAGACAACTTATTACAAACATCAGAAGGAGACAGTCATCACTTTTTGGATATGTTATGAGAGGAAGGAAAATGGAACATGTTGTGACCACTGAAAAGATCTGTGGAAAGAGAGATGGAGGAAGACAGCGTGAGAAGATTCTTGAAGACTTTTATTATGGCATGGAAGGGTGTCAATATACGAACTACTACATGCAGTTGCAGATCGCAGATCCTGGAGAGGCATGATTGTCCATGCCAGTCGATAAGGCACTTGGTGATGATCCAAAGTTATAGGTTTGTCAAAAAGTTAAGGGGCACTACGGTGATGTAGTAGTTTGCCTGCCATCCTAAAGGTCTTTTTTCAAATTCTCAGGGTGGATTTTTTTAAATGTTTTTGGCTCCTAAGTCAACACATCAGCCATCAAGTGCCAGCTGGTCAATACAAATATGAGTTGTAACATCATATACTTCGTATGCCAGTGGCATGAAAACGGTCCTTTACTTTACTTCACACACAAAAAAAGGAATGAGTGTGACCAGAAAGCAAACAACTGAAGTAGTATATGGTTGAACTGTCAGGCTACTATGATAGTGTGTCTGCATCAAGTTAAGGGTATAAATGAATATAGCCAGAAACACTTGAATGCATGGTATGACATCAGATGCTAAGTACATAATATATTCATTTCTGTGTCAACATTTGTAGACTGGAAATGAAATGGCAGATTAACCTGGTCTTGTATTCTATGGCCTGTTCATTTTTATTTTGGTTTTGTTGATACTTTTTTATATTTTGGACATCTGTGGTAGTGTAGTTTTACCATTCTATAATCTCTTATTTATTCAGATATTTTTTATAAGTATTATTTCCTTTTGCTATGGGTTATTATGGTGAATAATAGTTTTAAAATAATTTTTTAATAATTTTTTTTAAAATTCTGAATGTGTAAAAGACAGATTGCCTACACTGCTTGTGAGTTAGTAACAACATCTGGCCTCTGGCATTGTAAATGTACATTATACAGTGTGGGCATATGGGTAGAGAGAATCTGTTTTGGCAGACATAAAATAACAAATCTGTTAAAATCTGGCACACACACACACACAAAAAAACAACTCATGTGTTTGACACTTGGCAGACATACAATAACTGTTATGTTTAGGTTGACATTAAGCCTTCAGTAGACATATTCTGCACATGTCCACTTGTAATATTTCATGGACTCATCTGAACTGCCAGTAGGTCAAGTCTAGCTTAAAGTACGTGTATCATATTTCCTGGGCTTATCTGAGCCTCCAGTAGTCTTACATTTAGCCTAAAGTATGCCTTGAAATATTCCTGGGGCTCATCTGATCTGCCAGTAGGCTTGTTTCTAGCCTCCAGTAGGCTTGTGTCTAGGCTACAGTACACATATATCTTGTAATATTTCATGAAAAATTCCCAGGGCTAGTCTTAATTGCCATTAGACTTGTGTCTAGCCTACAGTATGCTGGTGTCTAGCCTACATACACTACATGTGTCTTGAAATATTTCATGGACTCATCTCTACTGCCAGTAGGCTTTTATCTTGCATATGGTACATGTGTCTAATATATCTATGACTTATCTGAGACTCCATGAGGCTTGTGTTTTAGCCAGCAGTACATATATGCTTTCACATTCTCATTTGTAATATCTCCTGTGTTGATCTGAGCTACCATCTTGCATAGTGATCTGACATTTTTTTTTTTTACATTCTATTTTATCATTTTAATGAGAGGTATTACAAATTTGGGACCAACCATATAAAGCCAATTTGTTTAAATTGTTTTCTTTATTATTATATCTAATTTAATATGTTCTCCAATGTAATATTGTTTGTCAATATGTTATCTGTTTACATAAATTGTGCATGACGTACTTCTCATGATGTGCTTTCCTGCTGAAACTCAGCATTTTGTATTTGTTACAGAAAGCTTGATGCATGCGACATTTTGTTTTCAATCAGTGATATGCAAACTTGACTGCTGATAACTGCTGTTGATTTTACTGTTTGTGTTGTAAGTGTGGTTTTTATTTATACCATCTAGTAGTGATGCCATAAAGCATACAGCCAAATATTTTACATGTTTGAATATCTCTTGTATACACCACCAACTGGGTCATGATATCTAGATTACAGCTGTTAAAACTATTTAGACGCCAGTGTACAGTTGCTGTAGTTACAAATTGGCACGTAATGTGTTCCTTGGTATTTAAAGTTAGTGTGATCTGTGCCAAAACATTGCAAACAGTGACATCAGGGGCAGTTAAAAAAAAAAAAAGAAATACTAGAAGTAACAAACTTTCCTATTTTAGTCAAGGTGTACAAGCGATGGCAGACAGGAAATAAATTAAAACATAGAATAGGAAGGATAAAAAATTTTTGCTCGTAACACAAGAATAAATTATAATATCTAGAGAAATAAGTAACACATTTAAAATGAACATTGTCACATGCTGTTTATACTCTGTAGCATTAAACCTCTATAATGAACATGCAAATAAAAACAATTGAGACCCTGCAAATG